CCTCCCTCCTCCTAACCTGAGAATATTTTTTCCATTGCTTTTCAGAGCGAGTAGAAGGGAGAGAGAGAGAGAAAAAAAACAACAACATTGATGTGAGAGAGACACATCGATTGGCTGCCTCCCACACTCCCCCTGACTGGGCCCGGATAGAGCCTGCAATCAAGGTACATTCCCTTGGATGGAATTGGACCCGGGACCCTTCAGTCCACGGGCCAGCACTCTAACCACTGAGCCAAACTGGCTAGGGCCATTGACATTCTTTAAATGTGTTAATACTTTCAGTCTAATTTCAAGTTTCAGAAACTTAAAATTTCTTTAAGGTGACTTGAATATTCCAACCATCTTCAAGGTTGTGTTTTTGGATTTTGGTGCCTGATGTTAGTTGTACTAAGTTGGGGTAGACCAGAATGGGAGGTAAGGCATCTCAGTGTAGACCAAGGAGCTGACGTAAGTTCTGCTTTCAATTGGTTGACTGGGTAGATGGTGGTGTCTGAGGATCTGGTTTGGAGGAAAGATGAAGATAATCTTAATTTTGGATATGTTACATTTAAGTAACATGTGGAACATAGCAGCTATCAAAATTTGTAAATACACATTTTTTTGCCTATTCTTTTTTCTCTGTGAGAGCAGGAAACATGTTTATTTTGCTCACTGTGGTAATCAATGCCTAACATGGTGTCTGACATATAATAGGCACTCAGTAAATATTTGTGAATAAATGAACTGAATGGATGCAGTTGAAAATGGCTAGTAGGCAGCTTGGCATTTATGAGAAAAAAATAGGGGCTGAAATAGAAATTTAATAGTCACCATCATAGCTACCATTTATTGAATGCTTACTATGTTGAACCAAACACTTCAAATATATTTGCTCATTCAACTCTTAAGACAATTATAAGAGGTATTGCTAGCCCCCATTTTATAGATCAGGAAACTGAAATTTGGAGAGCTCAATGTCACACATAATAAATTATATACTTTATACTGTTCATGGAAGGAAATGGAAATGGTGATGTCTTTTAGGGAGAGTATAGGGAGTTAAGGGACAAGAAATTTTGATAAAATTGAAGTAAAGAAATTCAGTGGGAGAAATAACATAATGGAGTTAAAGAGCTGAGAGAGAATGTGCTAAGTGTTGGTGAGGATGTGGAGAAATTAGAACCCTTGTACATAGCCAGTGAAAATGTAAAATAGTGCAGCTGCTGTGGAAAACAGTTAGTGGTTCCTCAAAAAGTTAAACATAGAATTACCATATGATCCAGCAATTCCACTCCTAGGTATATTCCCAAGAGAACTGAAAACAGGTATTCAAACAAATACAAGTGCCTGAATGTTCATAGAGCCACTATTCACAATACCCCAAAAATGGAAACAACCCCAATGTCCATCAGTGAATAATGGTATATGCCTATAATGGAATATTATACAGCCACAAAAAGCAATTGTTGTGGATTGAATCCTGTCCCCCTCAAATTCATATATTGAAATCCCAAACCCCAGTACCTCACAATGTTACATTGTTTGGAGATAAGGTCTTTAAAGAGGTGTCTAAAGTAAATGAATTAGAATGGGACCCTAATCCAATACAACTGGTATCCTTACAAGAAGAGAAAGAGATGCTAGGGGCATGTATGTGCACAGAGGGACAACCGTGTGAAGAGGCAGCAAGAGGCCAGCCATCTGCAAGTCAAGGACAGAGGCCTCAGAGGAAACTAATCCCATCGGCACCTTGATCTTGGACTTTCAGCCTCCAGAACCCTGAGACAATACATTTTCATCACCCCATAAAGAAACTCATGCCCCTTAGCAGTCACTCTCCATTCCTCTCACCCTCTCCTCCCAGTCCCTGGCAACCACTACTCTATCTTCTGTCAATAGAAGGATCTATAGGTTTGCCTATTCTGGGTATTTCATATAAATGGAATCATACAACATGTTAGAGTTAGCTTTTTGTGTGTCGTTTGCATTAGTAATATAGACTCAACGTAGAACACTGGGAAAATCCAGTAAACCCCAAAGAACATTTTAGTCCCACAGTATAGAGATAGCTATGAACGTTTTTCTTTAAATGTACCGGGATGTCCTTAACTGTTCTGTAAACTGCTTTTCCCCCTTCTTCCATTTCCTGCTTATTTTTAGTACTGCTCGGGTTCCTTCTCTGCAGGAGGTCGCAGCCCTGACGGACCAGGTTCCCCTCCCGAGTCGCCCCCGGGCCGGGTGCCGCCC